TCTGTCTCTGTAGTTCTAATTCCCTTTCTTTTGCCTCCTTAATGTCCAGCTCCACCTGGGGCTGCAGAGTCATAGAGGAGCGGAGCTTGAAGAAAGGGTTCTCCTTTACTGTAATTGAGTCTTCAGCCTCTTCAAAATTAGGCATTTGTCTTGCATTAACAGGCTCTGCAGAAGTGGCCCTCACACCCACTGGATTCATCACTTTTACAGATCCCCCATCTGTCCATGAGGATGTCTTATAACCCCCGTTTGGTCCTCCCACGGTTGTAGGAATAGAGTTGGCCTCTATTATGATTATCTGGCCTGTGATTCCCTCAGTCAGACCAGGTCCTCGAGCAGCAGGCGGGATGCCGTTGTTGCCTCCATACTTGGCCATGGCCGGTGGGGTGGGAGAGTTTTGAGAGAATTGCATTAGGCGTTGTCTAACAGCAGAATCGACTTCCTGTATCCCAGCAGCAGACTCTACGTTAGAGGAGTTTGGTGGAGATCTCCTGTTAACGGCTGCCACCGATTCCTTCTGCTCTTGGAATGACTCAAAGAGCAGCTTTTTTTCTTGAAGCTGTACCTCTGTTCCCTTGTCATAGAAGCCAGGTAGTCTGCCCAGTTCAACCAGAACCTTCTCCCTCTCGGTCTCCGCGTTGATTTCCTTCTGCATCTTCTTTCCAGCAAACTGCCGGTCCTTGCCAAGGTTTGTGTTGGGTCTTACCTGGAGGTCCTGAGATAGAATAGGTCTCCTCAATGGAATTTCCACAAACTCATTATTCCTGTCAGTTGTGTCACACAGTCCTCGAGAACGCCGTAGACTCTGCTCTCTCTTCATAGTCAAACGGATCTCCCTCTCAATGGGAGTTTCGTTAGGTGGAGATTCACAGGGCTGAGGAGGCTCGGCGTTGACTAGGCCCTCCGAGATATCTGTCGTGCTGTTGGGGGAGAAATCTGCTGACACACCGCTATCGCTCTGGCTGTCATCAAAATGATCCACCTGCATTCTGTTGACTTTCCCTTCTCCCAGACGAGGCTTTGTGCTTGACTGGGACTCCGCTCTCTGTCCTTTGTTTTCCCGTTCTTGTCTTTGATCTTTAACCTCCCCCAGCTGCTTTCCTCCGGTCTCACCTGTTTCTGTGAAACGCACTGTTAGCCTTCGCTCTTCTCTATCCTCTCTCTCCTCCCTTTCACTGTCCCTCCTCCCGTGTGGCATTATCAATGGCTCTTTTACTTCCGTAGAGATAGAGGCAGAGTTACCTTTCTCTGGATTGGCTGGCTCGCCTGCAACTGTTTCTAGGGGCGGAGCAGCAGCACACACCTGTTGTAACTCATGCTCCTTTATATCACTTGGGTTGTTTACCTCAAGCTCCCCCTGCTGGACATTCTCTGCACTAACCCCAGATTCAGTTATGGATACACTTTGGATGCTTAATGAAGGTTCGGTTTCGGTAAGATTCGTTTTTGGCGATCTTTTGGAATATGTCAGGTTTGGTGGTTCATCACAACGACTGTCCCGTCTCACCCACTGCTCTCTGGTGCTGGGGAAGTCCAAGGGTTTAGAGTCTATATTTAGATCTTCACTGTTCTCTGATAGGAACACAATTGAGTCGGAGTCACCATGTGACTCAAGCTCATGTCCCTCTTCTTCTTTGGTCACGTTTGGCATTTGTGGTGAGTCAGTGCTTTTGTCTGCCTGTGTCATGCTAACAGGTTCTTCACCCTCGATGTCTTGCAGAGATGTCTGAACATCTTCACTGCTTTCAGTGTTTTCTGTCACTTCATCTTGAATCTCTGTGGCTTGACACTCATTTCTCTCTGGTTGGATATCTTCTTCCAGTTCTGGCACTGGTGGACACTGGTCACCATCAAAGTCATTTTCAACTGTACTGCACAAGTCTTCCACCGTTGGCTCAATGGCGCCATCAGCTGGTGAGGAGGTGGGATGACTGTGAGGTTGAGGCTGGAAACTGCTGTCAGGCATTTCCGTTCTTTCTAACCCACTTATAGCTTCAGTGTCCTTGTTCATCTCTTGCAGGTCTGTGGCTGTGTCTTTATTTTGCGTCGTATGATCTTCTATTATTGTTGTTTCCACATCTTGAGATGTTTCTGCTATTTTTGCTATTTCTATTTCTTCACTACTGCATTCATCTTGGGATTCAGATTTCTGAGGGCAAGTCACAGAGTCTGTTTCCATTTTGCTCTAGATCTGTTTGAAATAAATGGCAAAATGTTTTTATTCAATCACAGAATGACAAGCCAGAGAAGGGCTTCCTTTAGTAACAACGTTGTCTCTTTCTTCCCAAGTTTCCCTTACTGCTTTTCTCACCCTGTTTTTTTTTTTTTATTATTGCATAAAGGTGAGACCCTTGAAGTTCTTTCCTTTATATGGGTAACACTTAGTTGTTGTTTTTTGTTGTTGTTGTTGCTGATTTAGGAAACAATAGGCTTATGTTTCAATCCCAGTAACTCAGGAGAGCTCACAATAAATGGGAAGTTATAGTGCAAAGTGCATTACCCTTTTCACTTGCTTTTGTATTCTTGCTTCACAAACCTTTGACCTCTGTCAGTCTTAAATTCAATTAATTAGGTCATTTATTCTTTAATGCCCATGCCTGAAGTCAGATTAGTGTCCTTGCCTATTAAGTTCACCTTGATATAGGTCACCTGAAACAATACTTGCAATATTTATTTTAAGTTTTCATGTTATTTGTTTTTCTTTGTACCAGTCTGTACACTAAGCATTTCTTTTTGTAACCATTGTTTTATTTTCTATAGTGTCATTGTCCTGCACATTGATCTAGAGCATATTAGCACATGCAATTGAGAATGATTAACAAAATTATTAAAATGGGAAGACCATTAAACAGTGTGCAAGGATATTTTTGACCTTCACAGTCAATGAAATTTCTCTCTATTCTTTGGAAAGTCAAAATTTAACCAGGTCTTCTGAGAATCATATTTACTTAAATGCAAAATCCGATCTCTATGCGAGCAAGGTTATAATTTTTTTGTTGACAACGAGTGGGTTATCCACAATATAATATTTGGACTCTCTATTGCATTGTACTGGAAACAAACACAAGGGTTTAAAGATGTGTCAGCATAATGCTAATTACATAAGGAGCAGATTAATACCATTTAATCAGATTATACTGTGGACACGAGTAACAAAACAACATGGAAATTCTGATTCAGGAATAATACAATAATGGTGAGGTGTTCTTAGTGTCCTTATACCACACATAATACTTAATAAAGGTCATGATTGAATTTCAATCTAGTAAAAAAATATAAATATTATATATATAAACAACCTAATAGCACACATCTATTTTAAGCTATACTGAAAACTAGAGTTAACATCCACAAATCTCCAGCAAACAATCATATGAATAGCTGTCATTAAATGTGGATAAGTCTAACAAAGATATGTTAGATTTTAATATATAAAACAAGATACTAAATTAATTAATCCCAGATTGAAATTCCTGACATTGTCGTGCAACACATATAAAGTTTAAAAATCAGTTAAAGAGCTATTTGGATTTCACAACCCATTCTTACACATAAAAACATAAGATGAAATAGGAAAACAGGCCTACCAGCTGATGAGATGAAATAAAAGATGGAAGAAGACAAAGGTCAGCTGAAAGACAAAAAAACTGAAGTGAGCCTTGTGAAATCTGCGCCTCTCACCTTCTTACTCTCTTCTCCTCCTTTCTTTCCCTGGTTTTCTTCTCTCTTTTACTCTCTCTCTCTCTCTCTATGTACCTCCACCCCCTGCTTAGCAATCAAGGTTAAAATCTGTGCAGTTCTTTTCTCTCCTACTTCCACAGTACACTAAAGCTGCTGAGTAAACCACAGGCCTTGCATCACTAATCCAAACAGCCCTCAAAGCTCTCACGAGTTTGAACAGTGAAAGCATGAGATCTCTTTCTATTCTCTTTCTAACTTTAATACTGCAAGATCTAAATGTAGCTTTAATATTTTACAATTCGGTTCAGTTTGTTAGCATCCAGTATCATGAGTTAACAATTATAAAACATTTTTACATAAATACATTTTAATTTCAATCTGCTTAAATTAACATTAGTTCATGTATTATTCAAGGATATTGATCAAAATGAACGATAGCATATTAAAGCATTGTTGCTTGTTCATTGTTAGAACACATTAACTCATGTTGATGAATTGAATGTAGCAATATAAGTTATAGAGTTCAATATAAATATGAAAAAGGTTCAATCTATTCTATATTTAAAGACGGTCCCACTTTATATTAAGTGGCTCTAAGTACTATGTAATTACATCGAAAAATAAGTACAACGTGTTATTGTGTTCCTGTTGTATTGTAAAACACTTTTGCTGCTATTGAGGTGTGATAGGGGTAAGGTTAGACAGGTGAGGTGGTATGGGTCAGTTTAAGGGTTGCAAGGTAGTCAACATTGTAATTACAAATGTAATTACATAAATTAATTACAGCTGTAATTACATGCAGGTATTTTTAAAATGTAAGTACAATGTAAAAACATGTATGTACACAAGTCCATTGTATCAAATTATTAGTTTCAATGTAAGTACATAGTACTTAAAGCCACTTAATATAAAGTGGGACCTTAAAGACTGTAACAGAATACACTACTCTTTTTCATGTTTAATGATGAAAGGATTATTGCCATTGTATTTTAAAGTCATTATCTTTTTTATATTTTTGAGTTTTATATTTACATTGACCGTACACTGTAAAAAAAATATTTTCAAGATTTGTTATTACAGCATTTTTTCTTTTGTCAAATCAACTTAAATTATTTATTTAGTTCAGATAACATATTATTTTGATTTTTTGTTGATTAAATCAATCTCCTTCATTGTATTAGCTCACTTTTCCATTTGAATCAACTTAAAATTTTAAGGCAACCAGGTTACTTATTTTTTTTAAGTTAAACCAACAATATTATTTTACAGTGTATGCTGCCTAAACTATTTTAATATAAAGAAAAAAGAAAGCCTTAGATTTAAATTTCATCATTTTATTTATTCTTCCAATGTAAACTTTCTATACAAAATTCTCACCGCTTCTTATTCAGCTCTTTGAATATACTATACAGGCACTGAGAATTTACATCAAACTTTCCATGCTGAAAGAAATGATGTTCCTGAATCCGACTGAAAGCTTTGAGTAATATTGATTACATATTATGGTATGAAACTTGAATCTCTGTAACGCACAATTTAAACAACCGTTAAAAAAGACGACAGAAATGTTAGTTGGAGAATTCACCTTAAACAGGTTGCTACAGCGATTTACGCCATATACTATACACTGTTCAGAAATAGTACTGTTTGCAGGGTCACATTAAAGTGATAGTTCACTCAACAACAAAAAAGTTAATTCTTTCATCATTTATTCACCGTCATGTTGTTCTAAACCTGTATGCCTTTCTTCCGCAAGACAAAAATATCTTTTTTCTGTAATAGAAAGTTGTTTTGGAATCTATTGCCTATCACCGTACAGACAAACACTCCTCAAAATATCTTGTTTCTTGCAAAAGAAAAACTCAAGGAGTTTTGGAACAACATAAAATGATTTTCAGTGCAGGATAAACTATCCGTTTAATGTCTAAAAACACTTGTCAGCCAGTTGAAGACAATGTAACAATAAACGAAGTCAAATTGAAACTCAATTCACATCAGATGTTACAGCATGTATAAAATCACAGGTAACCATTCCGTCTCTTTTGTTTTGATTCATAAGGCACACAAATTGTTTATAATAGATTATGCAACAACTATTGAAAGTAGAGAAGTGTTAATTGCCGCTGTGGGTTGATTCCCACGGCACCGATAACAACAAAATATGTGGTAGTGTTAAAACCGTCAAAGGCCTCTGTGGGTCGGCAGCCAACGCTCTAGAGTCGCCAGACATAAAAACAGGATCATAATCACTAATCAGACACCAGAGGCTGGGAATGCAACCAATGGTGACGCATTAACAACAACAACATGCACACTGACGCCTATTGCAGTCCTTTCCTGCAAGCCAATGCACTTTACAAAGCTTCTTTTTACATTGATAGGAATTATGGGCATCCGATATGGCCAGTCTTTACATTGAAGGTGTTCTTCAGTATGTCCTTTGACGCCGCAAGTGAACTGCTGAAGATCAAATTATGAACGTCTTGAGTAACAGTCAAGATGGAAAAGAAATAAAAATAATGTCTAATGTCAACAGACCGTTCACATGATTGAACAACACTGGCAGTTTTTCCGCTTTGGTGCTCCCGCGTCCTCTGCTGGATTGGTGGCGCTGGTATCCAGCCTGGCCGCTGCTTTGGAGATCAGCAGAGGTTCTTGTTCGGCACGCTGCTTCTCTGTGTTGGACTCATCCAGCGGAACCTCCTGAAATTGGCCGAGCGAGATGCGTGAGGCGGGCACGGACACCTCGTCTTTTGGGGTTTGGGATTCTGTTGCGTTTGTTTCGACTTTGGGTGTGATTGTTGGAGAAGGTTCTGTTGTGGAAGCCTCTATAGGGCTATCTACTGTCACATTTTGGGGTTGCGTTTCATTGGAGTCTGGGAGATGTTCCTCTATTTGCCCTTCGTCTACCACTACCACGTCTATTTCCTCAGCAGGAGTATCTTCAGTCACTTCAGACGCTTCCAGATCATGCTCTCTCTCTTCTTCAGCACACGTTGCTTCTGTGCTTCCAGATGGGTCTTCATTTTTAGCATCGGTAGTTGGTTCTTGAGCCATGCTGTCATCTTCCTCTGGGATTTCCTCTCCTTCGTCTGTAATGATGACTCTTTCTGCTCGAATAATTGCTCCACCATCATCGTCCTCATCGACTCCATGTCCGGGCTCCACCTCCTTGAAGCCAAGGAAGGTCATGGTTATTCCTCCAGCACCTGTTTCTTCTGCAGGGTGGTTGGCGAAGCCGTTAGCAGAAGCGTTAGCAGGTTCGTCCTGTCCTGGAGTATTGTGTGAGGTTTCTTCTTCCTCGTTTCCGTTAATAATAGCTGAAGTTGTGACAGCTTCTGTGTTTGCATCAGTGAGCGGTTCTGCTTCCTCCACGTCGTGGATCTCCACATGCACAGAATTATCTGCAACAAAAACCAACCGTATGAATATAAAATAATAGGTTTTGACTAGTGCTGTCAAACGATTAAAATATTTAATCGTGATTAATCGCATTAATGTCATAGTTAACTCGCGATTAATCGCAATTAATCACACATTTTTATCTATTCTTGATTTTGTTTTTGTCAAATTCTTTTTTCTCATTTTAATGCTCTTATCAAAAAGTGGATTGTTGATCTAAGGATTGTTTTCACCTATTTTATCACCTGCCAGAAAACAAAGATAAGTTTTATCGTTAAGAAAAATAAGTATTCAGCCCTCCGCTACAAACCAAATGATGATCTCAGCACATACTGTATGATTGGAAAGTTACCAAAGTCTTTACCAGGTGACTAATGCCGCTTTTCCACTACACAGTACTTGCTCGACTCGACTCGGCTTTGTTTGGTTTTCCACTGTGTAAAAGTTGTACCTGTACCTGCTTTCGGGTACTTTTTTTTTATGCCGACTGCTGATTGGTCAGAGAGAATCGTCACCATTCACTGGTTCATCATTGCACGCGTCATATGGAGTATCAAGAATAACCCCGCCATTTTGAAATAGTTTGGCCAGAGATAGTTACTAAACTTACTACTATTATTATTATTATGGCAACTCGGAAGAATTACGCCGCGGTCAAACGAGGAAGTGCAGACTTTGCTTTGTTCAGTTGCCGGAGAGTGGATCCAGCGAGAGCTTGATAGGGCAACGAGGAACAAAAGGCGTCGCTATGACGACCGGGTACTATTTGTGGCGATACTGTCTGGAATGAAAAACGGAGCGAAAAGCGTGTCAAGCCGAGCCGAGCTGGTACTGGTGATGGAAAAGCGCCATAGAACAGTATATAATATATAAGAAGAACTGATATTTTATACCTCTCTTTTCCTCTTTTCCGTTCTCCACGATAGGTCCATTAGGGAGCGTCTCAGCAACTGCTGTTTAATTAGAAACATTTATGATTGATATTTGTTCAATATAATGCTTTGCAACTGAGTTCTTATGTTCAGTGTTTTCATTACAAATTTTTATTTTAAATCTAAATGGTTTAATGCACTAATTAAGCCTAAAAAAGATTGGTAACACTTTACAATAAGGTTCAATTCCATAACATAAATATAATTATAAATATACTCATAAATATACACTACTGTTCAAACGTTTGGGGTCTGTAAGATTTTTTTTTTTTTATGTATTTGAAAGAAGTGTTCACCAAGGCTGCATTTATTTGATCAAAAATACAGTAAAACTTACAGTAATGTTGTTAAATATTATTCAAATTTAAAATAACTCAACTTTAATATATTTAAAATTTGATTCCTCCAGTCTTCAGCGTCACATGATCCTTCAGAAATCAATCTAATATGCTATAACATTGTTTTTTTCACAAATAAATGTAAACATGTATATTGTCACTTTTGATCAATAAAATAAAAAAAAAATCTTACTAACTCTAGTAGAATATTGTATTTAATAATAATTTTTAAAGCATTGGCAAATTGAAGCAAATTGATCATTAGCCGTATTGTAAACACTTACTAATTTAATGAACTAGGAATTATTTTAACAAAAGCACCGCTGCTGTTTAATCAAGGGTTACACTTTTTTGTGTTATCAATAATCAGGTCTGAAAAGTAAGTTGCTCACTGCAACAGATACACAGATGGTCGGCAGCGCAGAGAGTGGACAGATGGCACACACTCACCTGTTCCCACTGGCTCCAGCATAGTCTCGCCCTATTGGATAAACAAGAGAGAAAGGGTCACCAGCCATCCTTAGAGAGGACACATCACACTCTTTAACTGTTTAAACCACCTCATTCTGCTGGTTAATATTTGATTCAAGGCCATGGAACATTTATGGGAGGAACAGCTCGAGACTGGAGAAGTTTCCTATCGAAGTTCATTAACATGCACATCGATAACCCAACCGTCTCCCAAATACTGCAGCACTCTGGTTACAATGGGATTTGTAGAAATAGCATAAAACACTTATTAAAGGTACACTCAGTATTTTTCCTCATTAAAACGTTTTGCACACAAACAAAATCAAGCTTTTAAAGAAATACTTATAAACGCAAATTTATTATATGTGCCCTATATATGACCAGATAAACACAACTCACTTTATCTCAGTAACCCCCTTGTTATAGGACACTTTTGCCTATGGAATAAATGAATCATGCCTGACGGTGAATAACTAGAAGCTGACGTTTTTAATTTACTCGAGTAATTTTAATACCATATTCTGAACGTTCAGAACATTAATCAATTGTAATATGAAATATGAGAAGAACTGAAAATCACCTGAGACTAGTAACCCAGTTTCAGGTTTGGGTGCTTATATTATATTATAACTCACCCTTCCTCTATTATAAATATCAGCAATCATCTAATTCATGCGCAGCTTTCCCCATTCACTGGCTCATAACCGCTAATTCTTTCTTTCATTCGCTCTGATTACATAATTGGGGGAGATCTTTCATTTATGGTTGTGTTGCCAGCTTCATTTATTAACAGACGGACACATCAGCTTCAGTTGCCACAAGGTGGAGTCACACCAACACTATATTTTTCAAATGCAGTAATCAATACAAAATTGTAATCTAAAAAAAATTATACGGCATGACTTTTCTTTGATTCATCATGTCTTTTTTTTCTTTTTCTCATTATTAGAAGCAATATTCCAACTTTAATTTTTATTTGGAGTCTCTCAGATGTAAAAATTAATTATCGTACACACTGTTGCAGTTCATGTTTGCACTATTTTGATGGTCCACTTTAGACATTCTATTAACTATTAAATATATCCAAGCAACTTTGCAACTACATGTCAACTGACTCATTAGGGTAGACTATTGGGTTTGGGTTAGTAGAATAATTTGGCATGTTGTTGCAAAGTTACTTATAGTCGGTGGAATGTATGTTAGAGGAGTATCAAAATAAAATGTAAGTAGAGAGCAGACAGTCTATTATTACTCTAATGACTGACATGTAGTTGCAAAGTAACTTATAATAATTAGAAAAATGTCTAAAGTAGACTATCGAAAATAAAGTGTTATCCAGTTCACACAATATAAAGGATTAGCATTTTGAGAAGGTCAGAGGAACATACTAAAATTAGGGGAAATATGAGTTTAATTTTGAAATGTACTATTGTTATTTTTACACTTAAAGGAGTAGTTCAATTTTTTTTAAAAAATGTTGCTGATAATTTACTCACCACCATGTCATCCAAGATATCCATGTCATTCTTTCTTCAGTCGAAAATAAATGAAGGTTTTTGATGAAAACATTCCAGGATTTTTCTCCATATAATGGACTTCAATGGGAACCAAACGGTTCAAGGTCCAAAAGACAGTTTCAGTGCAAACTGTTCAAAGGGCTTTAAACGATTCTAGACGATGAATAAGGGTCTTATCAAGCGAAACGATCGCCCATTTAAAAATAAAAAAAGTTTAAGTTTTATAAGCTCAAATGGTCGTCTTGCTCTGTACTGTGATGCGCGTTTGTGACTCTCATGTTCAAACTCGTTCATCAAAATGAACGAATCTTTTTCCGAGTCAGTTCGTTAATTTCGTTCGTTGAATGAGTCAAATGACACGAAAAAAGATTTGTTCATTTTGATAAACAAGTTCGAAGAGGAGAGTCACGAACGCGCTTATTTGAGCTTATAAAACTTAAACTTCGTTGTTGTTGTTTTTTTTGTGAATGAGCGATCGTTTCGCTTGATACGACCCTTATTCATCGTCTGGAATCGTTTAAAGCCCTTTGAACAGTTTGGAGTTTGCAGTGAAACTGTCTTTTGGACCTTGAACCGTTTGGTTCCCAATAAAGTCCATTATATGGAGAGAAATCCTGGAATGTTTTCATCAAAAACCTTAATTTCTTTTCGACTGAAGAAAGCATGATATGGACATCTTGGATGACATGGGGGTGAGTAAATTATCAGCAAAAGTTTTTTTTCTTTTTTAGTGAACTACTCCTTTAATTGACTGGGTGTCAGTAAAGTCAATCTCAACAGAATATGAAGTCCTCCGTTCCTGTGCGTTTATGCTGACACTTTGACTTCATTGGTCTTGAGTAAACAGTACTGTAAGACCAAGACTCGGCTCTAATTCAGTTCTAAAAACTGTAATCTTACAGCAATCCGTCAGAAACACATATTCAACAGCCTTGCAGTGTGTTTTTAAAGTCAAAATAATGCGTTTACTTACGGTTCAGCTGACCTCCATAACAAGGCTGTTTGTTGTGATGGTAACAAGTGTAAAAATAAAAAAACAGCAATGACTTGCTGCTACTTATAAGCAGCTCATAATGATTTCAGAGAGCGGTGTATCATACAGTAAACTGTGAACATGAAGCGTATTGACTTTAATGTTTAAGCACTAAGCATTTGAAGAACCATTTTATTTTATATTAATTTATTTGATTATGTTGTTAACTTGTAAAAACCTTCTTATCTTACACCACCATTCAAAAGTCTGGGGCCAGTAAGAGTTTTTGAAAGAAGTCTCTTATGCTCACCAAGGCTGTATTTATTTGATTAAGAGAATATAGTAAAAAACATATATAAAAATATTATAATTCAATAATTTTCTATCAGCTTTCCCTCTCTACCCTCATGGTAAACTATCCAAAAAAAACTATCCGTTTTGTCAATTATTGTTCTCATTTGTTTCATGTTGTATGTGTGATGCTCAGTCTGTATATGTATATCTTTTCTCAACATCAACTAATCATTGTATACTTTACGTTTTGTTTTTTGCACTCTGTTTGGATTTTGTATCGTGTATTAAAAAAGAAAAAAAATGAAAAAAAAAATCTATCTGAATATATTTCAAAATCATTCATTTCTTCAGAAATAATTCTAATATTCTGATTTGCCGCTCAAAAACCATTTCTAATCATTATTAATGTTCAACACAAAACATTGTTCTGTGTTAAACTTTTTTCATGATCCTTTGATGAATAGTTCAACAGTTCAAAAGAACAGCATTTATTTAAAAAAGAAATCTTTTGTTGCATTATATACATCGTTACTGTCTCTTTTGATTAATTTAATACATCCTTGCTGAGTAAAAGTATTAATTTCTTAAAATAAAAAATAAAACCAAAACATCTTACTGACCCCAAACATTTGAACATTGTAGTGTAAATAGTTCCAAAAATGCTAAAGGAGGTGAAAGAGCAAACATGTGACAGCGGGGTGATCCTTCTGTCAGACGTGGCGTCTCACCTTATGCTGTGTCTGAGCATCTGTGCCACGTTCAGTGGAAACGTCTTCTGTGAGTTTCTTCAGTTTAATTTCTTCCTCTTCCAACCGCTCGGACGTCACCTGTAATCTAATGCACATACACGTACAGTAAGTCATGGTTTATATGGTGGGAACCTACTTTTGGCTTCTGCAAGGTAATTGGAGAGGTAATGTTGGAGAATAGCTTTTAGTGTAGCTAGATTAAGGTACTTTTCCTAAAGTGTAGCTTGACAGTAGTCATGATTGGCTCCAATTTCACTGAAGAACCTACAATTTCTTCCCCAATAGGCTCCCAAAATATACCGTGGGTTTTCCAGGATTTACTATCAGACTAAACAATGCGCGCAAGTGAACCTGCACTCACGTGGCCTCATTTATTCACTCAGGAAATCACAGCGTGCTTTATAGCTATATAAATCTGCATTGTAACAAATACACACATTAAACGAATCACTCCTCAGACGGCTGTTTACACACCATAGAAGTGTGTTCCCTATAGACCTGTGAGCAGCTTATTACTGCCAAACTTTGCTCTGACTAATTAAAGCCCTGCTTCTTCAACACAGAAGAACATCTCAGCGGCCAGCTTATTACAGTAATCACCATCTCCTTCAGCCAAGCAAAGAAATGCTGATGTGCAAAGGAGGAACATCAAACACACAAGCATAAATAGAAAGATATTTTGGGGGATAACACACATCACCTGCTTGTTGCACCAGTACTTTGGCAGGAATAATTAGTGTTGTTTGCAAAGGAAGCATTCTTACGTCTGTACGTGTGATAGGAGATTTGAACAAACCCCAGAGTATTTAAGTATTGACTTCATTGTGTAACTCATCTCATACATTATTCAAAGTCAAAAAGTCAACAATACAGTTGATAGGAATGTGTCTTGGTATGCCCACATATACCACTTAATTTATATCAACACACTGGCCCCAAAGCCCATGCCACGCATATATGCCACACATACACATTAAAAAAAAAAATCATGAGTTTCTATGACAGTTTCAAAATTTTAATAAAAGAATCAAAATATGAGGAAAATATTTCAGATTTTTTTCAATATGGGGGAAGAACAAAACACTAAACTCGGTTAAAAGGATTTGTCTGACAAAATTATTTGGCAAACTACAGCTGCGGTTTTAATTTTAACATTTTAATCATAGGAAAAAGCAAACAATGATTATATGTATATAATCAATATTTCGTTGGTTCTCTCTTGGTTTTGCATGCGTTCATAATTTCTTTGTATGACAGCCTGGCCAAAAATAATGTCCACACAATTTGACAAGTTTCACTGCGTCATCACAAATAAAACAATTGACTCCGAGTACGACTGCGCAACATTCTTATAAAATCTAGTTTTTAATAATATTTGAATCATTTTTCTAGGCTGGACATCACTTTTGGCCACTACTATATACAGTATATTATACACTGTATATATATATATTTTTTTTTTTCATTCTAAATGCATTTATATATTGTCCACAATAAGTACATTTCGTAACCTATTTTAGCAAATAAAGGTTTAAATTAGTGCTGTCAAATGATTTAAAATATTTAATCGCGATTAATCGCATTAATGTCATAGGTAACTCGCGATTAATCACAATTAATCACACATTTTTTTCTATTCTAAATGTCTTTTGATTTCTTTTCATCGCATTATTTTTTTTTCTCATTTTAATGCTCTTATCAACATGGAAAAGTGGATCGGCTTGCTTTGTGCAAATGTTTTTTTTTATTGAAAACAACATTGGCATATACTGTGTTCAAATTCACACTAAAATTCTCACTTGGAGCAAATAATCTCTCACACAATGTAACTGTCCATCAATAAAAGGGTGAAAGAAATATTGACGAGCTCCTGATATTGACGAGGGGGCGGAGAAGTTGCATCAGCTGTGTGTGTGTGTGTGTGTGCTTGGCCGTCATCAAGTGGTATTTCAGACCGGACGTGCTGCTCAGTTCTGGATGATGATAGCTCAGTTCACAACGACAAAACACATAGATCACTTTGGTCTTGTCAATGGAACCGTTTAGTAACTTTTTAAAAGTTAACTTTCCATTCAAAATCTTATTGACGTCCATTTTGGCGTTTCGCGCTCGTCATCCACTCAAAACGTAACGTTAACCAACTATTTGGCCGGCTCGCAAGCCCAAACGAGTGTGCGCGGCGTGCCTGTTGTTTTGTTTCCGGTCTCGCTAGATCCACTTGCGCTTTGGTCAACGAAGCAACAAAACGTCCTCGCGCGGCAAAAGCCATTGAAATGAATGGGTTTCAAAAGCATGTGAAAGAAAACTACAAAGTTTGCTAGGCCAAAAAGACCGTTAATCGCACGATAAAAAAAATGACGTCGTTAAAATGGGTTTGCGTTAATGCCGTTAATAACGCGTTTAACTGACAGCCCTACTGTAGTTTAAATTAAATATATTTTGAAAAAAAATAAATAAATCAGAAAAATATATTTTCTTACACTCTTATGTCTACAACATATTGAGCAAATCAAATCTAAAAAAAAAAAATCGTACTTGTTAATGTGCGTCTCAATCTCCTGAGTCTTATGGCCCCAGAGGGGTGACCGGGGACCCGTACTGTCAGGAGATGTGGGAGGTCCTTCCATCAGCCATTGGTCTCTGAGGGACTTCCTCTGTGAGGGAAACAGGGGAAAGGAGGTAGAAGGAGAGGTAGTTAATGCGCCCGCCTTTACATTATTTATGATTTCTTATCACCAGTTCACAGTTTTCACAAAAATGGATAAATACAATCAAGATGCAAAGGTTACACTTAAAGGGATAGTTCACCCAAAAATGAAAATACGGTCATCATTTACTCACCCTCAAGTTGTTCCTAACATGTATGAATTTCTTTCTTCTACTGAACAAAAGAAGATATTTTGAAGAATGCCGTTAACCAAACAGTTGATGGACTCCATTGACTAGTATTTAAGTCAATAGGGCCATCAACTGTTTTCATTTTTTGGGTGAACTATCCCTTTAAGCATAACCTTTGCATTTTGATTTATCCATTTTAGTGAATAATGTAAAGACAATAATATCTCTAATATGCAAGTTACTAAATATTAACTTGTTGTTTATTCAGCTGTTGTGTTGCTTAATAGTTGCATGGCTTGAATTGCTTGCTTCAAGACTTTTGTCTTTTAATCAGTCTTTCATCTATATATGTTAGTGTATTCCTAAATGTGGACAAAAGCTATATTTCTAATCTACCCATTTTATGTGAATTTTGTGAAAATGATTTAAAAATATGCTGGATGGAAATGCCAAGATGTTCTAAAAATGCATATAAAAAACTCATCTGCATAAAATCCCTCGATGTGCAGCAAAAAACGGAGGTGTGACTTTGCCTCAACAGAACAACTACTAGCGGATCAATTTCATTGCACCGCATCTCAAATGTTGTTTGGATCGTTCTGAAATGCCTGAGCCTGTCTGTTATGAAAATGCTTGGGTATAATGACCTCCCAGAAATCTCTCACACAAATGCGTTCCCAAACATCATCCATCCAAACACAAGATAACATGACGGCGTTTATTGAGTTTCATCTACACGCTCTGAGGTGCAAGTAAATTGTGATGTATGAATGTATGAAAAATAAGCAACAGTAGCTTCCCCGGTCGCAGTGACTTCCATTTTTATTATCAATTTTTTGCACCAAATTCCCAGAAAGTGACAATTTCGTTCTCTTGAACACATGGGCAGAAACAATTCTTTATTCGCAAATGTTTTATATGACATTCCAATTTTTTTACAAGTAAAACTGACAACTTTAGATGGAAACATAGCTAATGTCTCTCATCATAATTGTACCTAACAATAACAGGAAGCATATCACTGTCTGTTACAGTGTGTGTGTGTGTCCTCGATTGTACTAATGCTCATCTGGAAGTGTGTTAAAGGGTTAGTTCACCCCAAAATGAAAATTCTGTCAGTAATAACTTTTGGGCTAGCCAGTTTCGATCCCTTAAGAAGCCTATGGAGGAGTGATCCAGCTCTCAGATTTAATCAAAAATATCTTAATTTGTGTTCCAAAGATGAACGAAAGTCTTACGGGGTTTGGAACAACATGAGGGTGAGTAATTTATGACAGATTTTCATTTTGGGGTGAACTAACCCTTTAATTGCTTTTATCCATGGTACAAACTGCATGTCAAGAGTCGAAAAAAAACAAGTTTTTGATATGTTCCACCTCAACTTCCTGTTTCAGCAGGAGACATTTAACAAAGAAAATATAAAGTGTTCATAAAACCATTTCATTGGGTCTTTAAAGCACTAAAATATGTAGAAAGTTGAAAAGTACAATTGGAATGAATAATTGTGCAGGAAAACATCCCTTATACAATTTAGCAAATGTGTTTATTCTAGTGAACTGTTAGTATACTTCTTTTAAACAAAAATTGAAAAACTGTTTGTGTACTTCTCAGAAATGTACTTTATCGCAGCAAGTGAAAAATTGAACTGCACTTGGAATGATTAATTGTGCTGCAAAACATATTTTATACAATTTAGAAAAAGCCAAAAGGTTAAAGTCTCAAATGAAATTTCCTGCAGAGCGTAACGTACTTTTATTTCTCTGCTAATTTCACCTTCAAGAACAGAACCATCAAGGCATCTAGAGTTACCAGTAATAAAACACATCTTTATGTAGGTCAACGGGGAATTCCACAACATGCACAGAACAGTGCAGGCACCAGATGCCACACAGGAAGTGATGTGCACCATGGAAACTGAACATGAACAGATAAACTAACAACACATCAGTGTATGGAAGCACATTTATGCTTTGGTATAGTCAATCATAATTATGACAAAGACAAAAACGCAATTAAATTGACAAAAAGTTGAAATTACGAGTCAAAATTGAGATAAAAAGTAAATTACAAAAGACTTAATTACAATGTTGAACTTTTATGAAAATTATGTTTGTTTGTTTTTTACTTTTTATCTCATAATATCAACTTTTTATCTAATTCTGATTTACCCGAGGATGTTTTTTTTTTTTTCTTATGTAGTGGAAATAGGCTTCATAAGTGTCAGGGAAGGGCGTGAAATGAACTCAAGGCGTGAGAAGATAAGGAGAAGTCAAGGTGAATAAACCTGTCTGTCATTTTGTCAAATTATGACAAAATATTATGCATACATACTATGTTGATTCATTGTATTGCAAAAATGCATATATAATTTGAATAATTTGATTTGAGATTATTAATGTGACAACAACAAATATGACAAAAATGTAATTCTGTTGCGATGCATTTTATACACTGTTGATTATTACTAATGGAAGTGACATAACTAGCAGTGTGTAAAGTTTGCTTTAAGAGACTTTCTTTCTACAAGGAAATTAGGGCCAGTAGTTGAAGAAACACCCATGAATGTACTCGGACGCACACAATGTAGAAAAAAAAATTCTTGGAACCAACTAATAACACAAAGGAATAGGAAGAGGGAACGCCAATATGGAAATATTATTGAAACAATGGAGAGAGAGAGAGAGAGACTGTACTGTGTACACACACACACACACACACACACACACACACACACACACACACACACACACACACACCACACACACACACACACACACACACAACACACACACACACACACACACACACACACACAATTAGAGGAGGCATTTAACAACATTTAATTTCTCAAGAAGGGTGTGTGTTTGAATACACTGAATGTTGATGTGGCTCTGGTGACTGTGTGCATTGTTGGTGTTTGTGAATGTGCATAAAGGCCTTCATTTGTGAAATTCCACCCCATGACGCAGCCTGCTTAACGCAAACGTGACCTGACGAGTCTTGCTGCAAAACAAGGTTACGGTTCGTGTGTGTGTGTGTGTGCGTGGTCGCACCTTTAGCTGTTGAAGTCTCATTCGCTCATCCTCCATGTCTCTTTTGGCTCGCTCCTGTTCTTCCTGTATGCGCCGTTTCTCCTGAAAGCAGAAATTATAACAGACTTGATGTACGCTTGAAACACCTTTTCAGAATGTTAACACAAGCTAACATGTTCCTTCCTTACTGACATGTACTTTGCTAGAATGAGACTTCCCGCTAGCTGGATACACTTTTGGCAAGGGATGTCACACCAACAGTTTTTGAAGAAATCTTGTTTCTGTATTTTTGGCATGTCATTAGACTGATAAACAATGGAACGGGTTTGACAGGACATTGGACAGGACATAAACCAGCATTCATAAGTTTGGGTATAAGAAGGAATATACATATATAGTGTGTATATATATATATATATATATATATATATATATATATATATTATATATTAGTAAAGACACATGACAGTAAATACATTTCAGTAACACTATACTTAAAGCTTTTATGTGTACTGCATTGTAACAGTATTCATAGTGTATGTTATAATACATTTACATCTTACATGTTATAATACAATACATCTTTTCATAAATAATTGTAACCAAAATTAAAATGCATTAAAGGAGTTGTTCACTTTAAAAAAAAAAAACTCTTGCTGATAATTTACTCACCCCCATGTCATCCAAGATGTCCATGTCTTTCTTTCTTCAGTCGAAAATAAATTAAGGTTTTTGATGAAAATATTCCAGGATTTTCTCCATATAATGGGCTTCAATGGGAACCAAATGGTTCAAGGTCCAAATGAGAGTTTCAGTGCAGCTTCAAAGGGCTTTAAATGATTCCAGATGATGAATAAGGGTCTTACCAAGTGAAACGATCGCTCATTTAAAAATAAAAAAAGTTGAAGTTTTATAAGCTCAACTTTTTAAGCTCAAAAAGTTTTATAAGCTCTCCTATTCATCGAAATGAATGAATCTTTTCCCGAGTCAATTCGTTCATTGAATGAACCAAATGACACGAAAAAAAGATTTGTTCATTTTTTTATTAAGGAGTTTGAATAGGAGAGTCACGAACGCGCATCACAGTACAGAGCAAGGTGACCATTTGAGCTTATAAAACGCAAACTTTGTTTTTTTTTTAAACGAGTTTAATCGTCTAATCGTCTGGAATCGTTTAAAGCCCTTTGAACAGTTTGCAATGAAACTGTCTTTTGCACCTTGAACCGTTTGGTTCCCAGTAAAATGCATTATATGGAGAAAAATCCTGGAATGTTTTCATAAAAAACCTTAATTTCTTTTCGACTGAAGAGAGAATGACATGGAAATCTTGGATGACATGGGGGCGAGTAAATTATCAGCAAATTCTTTTTTTTAAAGTGAACTACTCCTTTAAAATATTTGCAGATTACATCTCAAATTGGTTGCTTATCATGGGTTTTAATGCATTATACTTTCTACAGGTGTAACAATGAATAGTTAAGTATTGTAATGTACCATAAATGTGATTATTACAATCATTTATGAGACCATGTAAAGCATTGTAAGGTGTTTTAATTAATGCTTTAAAAATACTTACAATAATGCATTTAATACACAGACCTGTGGAATACTTGATTCTGATCAAATCAAATATTTTGAGAGAACCATGAGCTGGATGTACATTATCCCTTAATTATAAGTAAAGTGTAAGTAAAAAATAAATGCTGTTCTTGATAATAAATCCTGCAGTACCGTTTTCAACATTGATAAATAAAATGTTTTTTTTTAGCAGCAAATCAGCATATAAGAATGATTTCTGAAGGATCATGTGACGCTGAAGACTGGAGTAATGATGCTGAAAATTCAGCTTTATATCACAGGAATAAAACATATTCAATAATATATTAAAATACAGAACAGTTATTTTTAAATTGTAACAGTACTTCACAATATTACTGTTTTACTGTATTTTTAATCAAATAAATCAAACTTCTTTCAAAACAATAAAAAAAAATCTTACAACCCCAATCTTTTAAATGTTAAAGGAGAACTCTGGCACAAAATGAACCTTTGGTCTAATTTAACATTGGTACCTAGTCAACCGTTCTCTGAGATTTGTTTTCATGATAATCGAATGTATAGAGTTTTATCTCTAAAAACTGTTTAGCATATAACGCTAGTATATGGGGGCATTTACTAAGTAAAAACAAATCACTAGTTTATACCACTAACAAGGCTCAAAATAGCCCCACACTAACACAGTAACATAATGAGGGTCCATACATGCAAAACGAAGCATTGAAAACTTTGTAAGTGTACAGACGTTTAATAAGAAGATACTTTATAAAGACAATTCACTTTGTGTATACAGACAGGAGCCATCTTTGACAAGTCAAACCACGCTAAACAGTTTTTAGAGATAAAACTCTTTACATTCGATTATCATGAAAACAAATCTCAGAGAACGATCGACTAGGTACCGATGTTTTATTAGACCAAAGGTTCATTTTGCGAGATGGTTCTCACTGCAGAACATGAAATCCACGGGGAGGAGTCGGATCCAGATCCAACTCCTCCTACCTTACATACACCTAAACCTACCCAACTCCGCCCCCTGATCCTTAAACCCAACCCTAATCCTACCCATCTCCACCCCTTGGATCTTGATCCGACTCCTCCCCGTGGATCTCATGTACTGCATTGAGGTGCTACTGAATTTTGCGCCAGAGTTCTCATTTAATGCATTAACAAGTGAGTGTGTTTGCCCAAGAGTATCAACTCTCCACCTGGATTACGTTTCCACTGTTGTCCACTGTAACCATAAGCTTTCCATATTGGTGCTTCTCTTACATATCAAAATGTTATGTTTGCCGCAGTGTCATCATAACGTGAAATGAATACCAGAACGCATTCAGAGGACATGAATATTTTGAGAGAGCAGGTGAAGAGGTTCATGTGTACGGCATCATCGCTGTTGTCTGGTGTAGTTTTACCTGGTCTGGACCGACTCCATCACACTTAATAATTCAGGGTCGTGAACACAGCTAACACCAGTTTCCATACCTGTGTGTGACTGTGTGTGTATTGAGAGACGTGCTGTATAACAGTCTATTTGTCATCATGCATGTTTCTATTAAAAGTACAATTCATAGCGGCTTTGGCTGAATGTCCACAGGTACCGCAGTAATTAGTGTTGTCAAAGAGCACCAGACGCTAATATGATGGATGTGTCTATATGTTTCCGCACGACACTATTTGCGGGGGTTAAGTGGTGCTGTCATTTAACTGGCAAATTAATCCACTCACGCTGTTAGCAGGTTCTGCTTGTCATATAATGATGTATGAAATACAAACAGGGCTTCTATGGGACGTACCGCTATAGCCTGCAGTCGCTGCTGGTATTTCTCCGCTTCATGTTCCATCCTGGACCTGGAATAAAAGAGACATTGGCTGCATTATTTATTTCCAGGTTGTTGTTTTTTTAAAGTCTATTTTAAAACGGGTTTCATTTTAAATGTAAAATCCAGTTACTGTACAGATGATTAAACTTCGCATGGGCTGTTTAAAAATAGCTAAATATTTTAAACATCAATTATGCATTATAATAATTGATTTGAGTAATCACTGAAATGATTATTTTTTTTTAATGAATTCAGACTTTTGTTCAATAATGATGCGGTTTTATAAAAATTGCTGTGCAGTAAAAAAAAAGGTTTTAAGCACAATCACCTTGGATGTTTAAGTCATTTCAACTTAAATTAAACTGACATAAAAATTCACTTGTTTTGATGAGGTAAAGCAATGTAAAAACGTGGTCAACTTATTGATCATGTATTTTTTTTCTTTTACAGTGTATAAACATCTGTTACAAATTCCTATTTGTATTTCATAAATGCTTTATTAATCAAAGAATCCATGTGTAGTAACGAAAGCAAGTTTTTGCATTCTTATGGGTGAAATTTCATATTGTACTAGTTCAATTCTCATAAACTGCCCCCACAACAGCTCACTTACTGTAAAAACTGAGATTCATCTACCCATAATACTCTAATCATTTACCAGCAAGCCTTAGTTTCGATGCGTGTCAGATGAATCTTCTGATGAAGCTGGAGTTTACTCTGTACGCTTCAGTGAAGCTTCAGCTGTTTCTCCAAGAATCTGATCAATCCTTATCTTGTTGCCTGGGCTTTTTTTTCTCTCTATTCTCTTTAGATCCTAGTTGCTTTCTTCTTTTAAGACAGTAACGCAACAGACTTTGGTGTGTGTTTGGCCATTTCTAAAACCGCCCGTCATGTTTCCCCGTCATGCCGCCCTGGCCCAGTACTGGCTATGCCCCTGATATACAGTCTGACTACTTTTTTATTACTTTTGACCTACCTCATTTATCATATTAATTTGAATAGGATAATCCTGTACCATATATTGATATAAAAATACAAAGAGAAAGAAAATATATTCCATTCTTTACCAAAAATATGGGTTTCACTTTATTCTGATGGTGCATTTAATACATTCAGTTGACTAGAAGTAACATTGCACCTAGAGTGTTAGTACAGTAGTAGTAGACTGTTAGGGTTAGGGTTAGATTACGTTAACATGTAGTTGCAAAATTACTTATAGTCAGTAAAGGGTCGTTAGAGTAGTCATTTTATTATTGATCTATTTATTAGGGCCCAAGCCCTGAAAGGGCGAAGGCCCTATTGTTTTCCTTGGGATTATTTTTCTTCACTATTATTATTATAATAATTATTATTTTACTACCTTTTGGGCACTTTTGGGGCCCTTAACGTGCTCGAAAACTCTTGAAACTTTGCACACGGGTCAGAACCCGCGGCCATCAGAGCCGGGCTGAAGCTGGTACCCGGGCGTGGTAGGGGCGGCTCGTCAGCGCCACCTGGAACGGGTCCGAAACACTTGGTCCATAACTCAAACACGCTTGCATGTAATAATATGAACTCGGTACACATGTTGATCTCATCGTTTCATCTATACCTCACACTCTTACTTTTACCCCAGCCCAACAGGAAGTCGGCTATTGGGTTTGTTTGTAAAACGCTCGCAAATGGATGTCAAATACTCCTCCTAGAGCTTTGATCCAAATTCGACGAAACTCGGTCAGCGTGAAGTCAAGACATTGAGGATGAAAGTTTGCGAGGGGATTTTTATATCTCGAACGGTTTGTCCGTGGCGAGGAAACGAAATCATGGCGAGAAACGTGAAACAGGAAGTGTGTTATAACTTCAGCATACATTAACTGATCTTGATGAAACTTCAGCAGTGTGTTCGCTGTAAGAGGACGATCACATGGATGTGACTATTGTGAGTCAAAGTTTATAGCGCCACCAACTGGCAGCAGGAAGTGTGTCACTTTCAAAATGCTTTGATATCACCCTTTTATTTTTACCCGATTTGCTTCAAACTTCATATGTATAATGTAAACATACGGCAGATGTAGACCTGTGAATGGATTCTTGATATCTTTTAAACTGTTGCCGTGGGCGACGCATCAAACTTTACCCTTCTTTTAGGATGCTTTTAGGATGCTTTTGAGACCCTTAGCATGCTTCAAAATGCATGAAACTCGACAGACACATCACATTTATTAGCCAGTAGACATGTGCAAAGTTCAGAAACGGGCGTGGTGAGGGCTCAGTAGCGCCACCTTTTGACAAAAGTGGGGTGTTAGTTTTTAAACTAGAGTTACAAAAATTGGTATGTATATGTACTCCTCGAGCCGGGACAACTTTCTAATTTAAACTTATTAGCTAGGACCCACAGAAAAGTCAGATGTGTTGTTTGAATGTGGTCTGGCTTAATCTGAGCCTACATCTCTGTCTTTGCCTGTCTCTGTGTGTGTGAGTGTGCAGGGGAGGAGCTTAACCATTTCACTGCTGTGTGTAGGGCCTGCATAAAGAAAATACATTTCTCAAGCCCTGGTATTTTTTAAATAAGTTTTTATTTTTATTTTTTTATAAGTAAAGACATATAACTAGTTTAATTGTAGTGCATTGACAATAGTTTTATATAATTAGTTTATTAATCAGATT